TTCTTCATGTCTCTTTCTACATCAACATGTGTTCCCTCTTCTCATGTGCGTCTCCTACATCAACATGTGTCCTCTTCTTCATGTTCTCTTCTACATAACATGGTGTCCCTCTTCTTCAGAGTGTCCCTACATCAACATGGGGTGGTATCCCTGTTCCCTCTTGTGTCATGTCTCTTCACACATTCAACATGTGCTCCCTGTCCCATCTTCTTCATTGTCTCTTCTACATCAACATGTGTTCCCCTTCTTCATGGTCTCTTCTACGATCCATACATGTGTCCCTCTAATTACATCAACAGTGTAGCCTCTTCTTCAGTGTCTACTTCTACATCCAACAGCTTGTGATCCCTCTTCTCCATGTCTGCTTTCTACATCGAGCATGTGGTCCCCTCCCCTCTTCGTTCATGCTCCTTTCTACCCATAACATGTGTCCCTTCTTTTCATGTCTGCTTCTACATCAACATGTGTCCCCTCTTCTTCATGTCTCTTCTACATCAACATGTGTCGCCTCTTCTGTCATGTCTCTCGTACGATCAACATGTGTCCCTCTTGTTCACATGTCTCTTACATCAACATGCTGTCCCGTCTTCTGCATGTCTCTTCACATCAAACAAATTGTGTCCCCTCTTTTTCATTGTCTCTTTGTACAATCAACATGTGTCCCTCTCTACCCTCAACCATGTGTCCCTCTTCTCATGTCTCCTTCACATCACATGTGTCCCCTTTTCTCCATGTTCTTCTACATCAGCATGTGTCCCCCTTCTTCATGTCTTCTTCTACATCAACAGTGTCCCTCTTTCTTCATGTCTGCTTCTACATCAACATGTGTCCCCTCTTCTTCATGGTTATCTATTCTACATCAGAGCAGTGTGTCCCCTCTTCTTCATGTCTCTTCTGACACCGAAACATGTGTTCCCCCTGTCTCATGTCCTGTCTACATCAACATGTGTCCCCTCTTCTTTCATGTCTCTTCTACATCAACATGTGTCTTCTTCTGGTCTTTCATGTCTGCTTCTACACCAACATGGTGTCCCCTCTTCTTCATGTCTTCTTCTACAATTCAATGTGTCCCGTCTTCTTCATGTCTCTTCTACATCAACAGGGTGTCCGCCTCTTCTTCATGTCTCTTTACATCAACATGTGTCCCCTCTTCCTCCATGTCTTTCTACTCAACATGTGTCCCCTCTTCTTCATGTCCTTTTCTACACAACAGTGTGCCCCTCTTCTTCATGGTCTTTTCTACATCAACATGTGTCCTCTTCCGTCATGTCGTTTTCTACATCAGAAGCATTTGTCCCCTCTTCTTCTTGTCTCTTCCACATCAACACGTGTCCCCTCTTCTTCATGTCTCTTCTACATCAACATGTGTCCCCTCTTCTCCATGTCTTCTACAGTCAACATGTGTCCCCTGGTCATGTCTCTCCTACATCAACATGTGGTCCCTCTTCTTCTAGCCTCTCTACATCAGACATGTGTCCCCTCTTGTTGTTCCTACTATCAACATGTTCCCCTCTTTTCGTTATGTTTCTTACATTGTAAGCATTGTGGTTTCTCTTTCTTGCATGTCTCTTGTTTACATCAACTTGTGTCCCCTCTTCTTCATGTCGCTGCTTCTACATCAACAGTGTGTCCCCTCTTGCTTCAGCGTCTCTTCTTACATTCACTTTGTGTCTCCCTCGTTGTATGTATCTCTTCTTAACATGTTGTCCCCTTTTCTGTCTTTCTTTACACGTATGTGTTTCCCTCTTCTCCATGTTTCTTTTCAACATGCGCTGTGTTTTTTTAACATCGCTGTCTGTTTTCTTTTCTTTGTTTTTTACATCAACATGTGTCCCCTCCTGTTCATGTCTCTTCGTACATCAACGATGTGTCCCGCTCTTCGTTCATGTCTCGTTCGTACAGTAACATGTGTCCCCTCTTCTTCATGTCTCTTCTACATCAACATGTGTCCCCTCTGTGTAAAGAGACTCTGAAAGTTTCAGGAACAAAGATTCTCTCTCTTTTTGATCCATTTCTATAAAAACCTGTCTGAAAATGAGCTGATCAGATTTTGGCCACTTTGTGATGTCATAACGATGTTTTGTTTTGTGTAACCATTAGCCAATCAGCAGCCAAGGTAACCCCCACCCCCCCACACCTTATCACCTGAATCTCCTCCTTTTTTCTCCCCAGGATAGTCCCACCTCTCTAGCAGGCACTAAAAATGGGGGTAAAAGTTCTCTGAACTAAGTTCTCTTTTTGGTGTGAACGCAAAATCCCAGGCACTAACGGAACTAAACGGGAAAAGTACTCCGGTGTGTGTGAACCGGTTCTTCGGTTCAGCTCCCGCTCTGTTTACACCGCTCAGAGCCCGACTGGTGCTGCGTCATCGTTTGAGTCATGACGTAACCGTTTGCGTGCCTGCTTCATAAAGCCAAACCGCGCGGAAACCCCTCACATCGACAACAACAATGGCCGATTGTATTGAAGCGCTACTTGTTTTGGTTTTGCTCTGTCGAGACGAAATGGAAGAAATGGGACGACTTTGCTACCAACTTTACAGTCGTTACATGCTACATTCAAAAGTTCTTTACAATCATTATCATCAACTTCAACGACGATTCGGTAAGAGAAGAAGGTAAATATACGTCCTATTCGATGGCGTTAGAGCTAGCTGTTGTTAGCCTCTGCATGCGCCAAGCTCAAAAACCCAGCTTTGCAGCATTCATTACTATGGTATAACTCATAACTGATTCTCAATGTTATTTCCACAGATCATGTTGAGGCTGGCGGAAAGGTGGATGTCGCGTGTTATTTGGACACAGCCCAGATCTTCCGACGTAAGCGTGACGTACGCGGTGCTTGCTTTCGAGACCGACAATTTTTTGGTGCTTGAAACGAAGCGGATTCCGGAGCTTAGAGGCGGCTCCGCTGCGGTGTGAACAGGAAAAAACGGTGCTTTTCAGGCTTTAGCTCCGATCCGGCCCTGGAACCGCGTTGGTGTGAAAGGGGCAACAGATAATCAGCACTTTTGAAACAGGGCTGAAACAGAGGGGATTATGGGTAATGCTGCAATGATCTGTTTGGTGTTCCAGCCAATCAGAGACAGGCTCTGTGTATATCTGAGACCTGTGATATATTGATGAGAAACAGTGTAGGGACCTTTAAAGTCTGAAAGGTTATGCATCAGTTCTGTAGAGCAGTGAATCTCAAATGGGGGTGCATGGTCCTCTAGTGGTACCTTTGGGGTACTGCGGGGTGTAAATGAGGTTTAGTGATGCAAACTACTAAAAGTGTACCTCACCAAAATGATGCAGCGATATTCATGTCCTGAGGTTATTGCAGTTTATTACAGAAAGTGTTTTATTGATTGATCAGACACAGATGACACATCACTATATTGTAATTATTCATATAGGTTTTTATTTTGATATCAAAAAGGTGTGGGGTACTTGGCAGAGACAGTATTTAAAATGGAGAGGTGTGGCTGAAAAGGATCAGGTTTTATGATCAATTAAATATGTCTAATACATTATGACACATATTTCAGACGGACCTTGAACATTCATTTATTGTCATTGGTATAAAAGGCGAATCCCTTTCCTGTTGAACAGTGGAACAAGTTGTAATAACACACTTGATAGATAAGGTTATTTATGTCACACAAATCACACTGTTGTTGTAAACACACAGAGAACAAAATATATTATATACAGTATAAGAAAGAGCCAATAACATCACCCAAGGATAAGACAATGGTTTATGATTTCACTTTGAAGTGTATATAAAAGTTAGTGTGGAAAACAAATGGGTTTTATTACATTTAGTGTTAGGTATTCCCAAAAGGCTGCTGAGCACATTATTAAACCACATTCCCTGCTGCTGTGTTCAGCTCATTGACAATAAACCACTTAGAGACACTTTTCTGAGTTGATTCCAGTGTGAAACTAGCAGGTTTTTGCTCGTATCAAAAAGAAAGAAAATACCAACTTTCCCACGCTGAAGGAGATTAAAGTGATATAGGGGAAATGAAATGATACCGTGAAGTCAGTCAAGCTGGAGGAATGTTAGCATGAGATACCCTGGGGCTATTTTAGCATACGCAGAATAAAAAAGGACACTACATGTGATCACAAAAAACAAACGTAATATTAGTGTAAAAGACATTAGTATGCGTGAATACATTGTGCATACAGGAATATGATTTGTTGTAAAGAAAATAATTATAAAAACTGCTTCGATCAATTCACAACTTTAACTTTGGCATCAACGCTGTAGAGTTCAGACTGTTTTCTTTTAATGAGATGAAACGCGGATGATTAACGACACATTAATGACGCACAACATTTGATCAAAGAGACTAAGATTGCTCCCAAATAACTCGTATCAAGCAAATACCTCCAGAGTGGGAGCGAGTTAAAGATGTGCTGCTTTGTTTATTTTTAAAACAGATGTGTGTAGAGACATGTGGAAGCCTTATGTTACAAAATGTCCTGAAAAAACGCCTAATTTCAGCTGATTTTTGTTAAAAAACCAGAGCAAGATAACTGTAATTATAGTCAATATTAGGAATATCTGGATAAACTGTTCCCTGTTGCTACCCTTAGTTAGGTTTTTATTAGATCTTTTCCTGAAGAGAGTTTCAGAACACAACGTTTAGCAATAACTGGAAGGAAAAAGTGATTTGGATTTCTTGTTTTCGTGCCCCTGATAATCGGGGTTTCTTAGGTTGCTCCTGATTTCAGACGGAGATGTTTCGGAGATGTTTAAAAGGTGAAGTAGAAAAGATGATAATTAGTGTGTGTGGACATAAAGAGCCTCGTCCTGTTGTCCAACGACTGAAAGCAAATACCTTAAAGATGTGCTGCCTTGTTTATTTTAAAACAGATGTGTGTAGAGACATGTGTTAGCGTTATGTTAGAAAATGTCCTGAAAAAAACGCCTCATTTCAGCCGATTTTGTTCAAAAACCAGAGCAAGATAATTGTAATTATAGTCAATATTAGGAATATCTGGATAAACTGTTCCTCGTTGCTACCCTTAGTTAGGTTTTTATACAGAAACCTTTTGAAAATAATGAACATTTTACTAAAAAAAATGTCAAAAGTAATTTGGATTTCATTTTTTCGTGCCCCTGATAATCTGGGTTTCTTAGGTTGCTGCTCATTTCAGACGGAGATGTTTCGGAGATGTTTAAAAGGTGAAGTAGAAAAGATGATAATTAGTGTGTGTGGACATAAAGAGCCCCGTCCTGTTGCCAACGACTGTCCTCTGCAGACACTTGAGTCACGTAGATATTGAACGCAGTTTTAAAATGCCACGGTGACATCACCATCTGTGTTTGTTACTCTACTGTCGTTGGTGGCCGCCCATCGAGTTCTTCACGGCCTCCTCCAGAGACTTCCTGGTCACCAGGAGCCGCACGACGTCCTCGTTCTTCTTCGTTAGTCTTTTGCGCGCCTGGTCGTGGGTCATCATGGTCATATCGTAGCCGTTCACCTGGAAGAGGAGGAGGAGGAAGAGGAGGAAGAGGAGGAGGACTGCGTTTCAGAAAGGACATATTGATAATGATAGAGTGGATCTAGATTGAGTTTCTCTTCACACCTGCATTATTTTGTCTCCCATCCTCAGGTCGGCTGTTTCGGCTGGTCCTCCCGGAGTTATCCTGGTCACATAGATCCCCTGAGGACACAGGAAACACACCTACTGTTACACATCATCCACTTTATATCAAGCACAGACAGATACAGATATAAAAGCATTACAATTTGAGCATCTTTTCATTTCTCTAATGTACAATGCCTCGTCTTGTTAAGCCGCTGCAACGCAAAAAATGCAGTAAACGTACTTCTTATCGTATCTTATTACAGAATATAGAAACCACTACCTCAAAAATATTAAATAACAATCAACAATAATAAACCGCACACAAGATAAACCGTGCTGTCATCCATCTGCTTTATTAAATGTGAAAATTGTACGCAAGGTTTTTGTTGACTTTTTAGGGCTTGTTGTGGAATAAATCGTTTGAGAGGCGAAATGGAACAAAAGACTGAAGTTCCTCGATCTCCTATTCCTGTCCAGCCCTTTATCTGAACCTCGTGCTGCACGTTTTGACGCTCAGGCTCTGTAACGAGGTGTGTGTCTGACATCAGGTGAACCACACTCTGTAGAAACCTGCAGTCAGACATGACATCAGTGAGGGGTCCGTCTCCTCCGCAGGCTGCAGGTAATGTGTCCAGGCTTGTCCTTCCTCTGTAACTCAGGAGAGAACTGCTGTAGTGACACTTTCCATCTGATGTTGAATACCTGAGCTCAAGATATTCAGATGTGTGTGTGGTGATGAATAAAGCAATGTTGTTGTAGCATGCATTGCGTACAGCATGGAATACCTAACGACACACACACTGTTAGAGCCTTTTTGCTTTCATCGTTATGGTTTGAATGTGTGGCTTGATAATATAAGGATTTAGAGTAAACTCTTATTTGTTTTTGTGAGTCACACTACGGGTTAAAAGATGTTATCTTAAGTCTCACTTGTTGTCAGGTGTGCGCTGTCGGGTATGACGTGCATGTCTTTATGCCTCTATAAGGCAGGACGATGGTTCACAGCTGAGGGTGTGATTAGACGGGAAGCGGTAGAGTCTTTTGACCGAGTTCTTTTTGTTCCATTTTGATACGGAGAACTTTTAGTTACTTGGAAGCGAGGAAGTTTGTCTTCTTGTTTGTATGCCGATTTCAAATGATGCAATTATCAAATCGCAAAGCCTGCTATTTTTTTAATGTTTTAAAATTCAAAAAACACACCAATCAGAAGTGCTGTGCTCCACATGCACCAGCCATTGTTAACCAATCAGAAGTGGCCCATGATAGAAGGTGATAGACAGATTGATCCAATCATCTGCCATGTATTTTTGAAAGTGCCTGCCCTTTCCAAATGGCTTCCAATGGAGCTCTCCTAGATGGTTTGGTGAACCATCTGAGTCAGGTTAGTAACGCTCCATCACATGTTTCTATCACAGGGTGAATCTTAAACTGAAGCTTGACTTTAAAGCAACCCAACGGAAGTTTCATGTAAGTTTAGTTCTTTCACTCGTAGCTCGGGCTGCGGGGGTGCTAGAGACGGGAGCACGTTGATACGACCTTCCTAGCCGGAGGTATGGCCACATTTTACAATAAACTTCCGTTGGGTCGCTTAAAAACAAATATCGCAAATCGAATCGCAATATTTGTCAGAAAAATCACAATTAGATTTTTTCCCCAAATGGTGCAGCCCTAAAAGTGGATGTTAAATGTAGAAACGGTGTAAAACGCCACGACACACACACTCTTACTTTGTCAGCCTTGTCGTCAGAGAAGGGGTTCTGCCCGGGGTCCTGGTCGATCCCTCCTCCGATGCTGAAGCCCAGGATCAGATTATCTCCCTGCCGCAGCTTCTTGATCTCAATCCGTTGCTGTTCCACAGGAAACAAATCATCGTTATGGCTTTACCCGTTACATTTATAAACCCTGACACACTAAATACTTTTAGTAGTTTATAAATAATCCCCAAAACTGAAATAAAAAGCACAACAAATACACAATATTTTCAAGGAAATGTTTCTTATTTTGTGATGGTCACTAATCATAACTGCTACATTACATTGTGTTCATCTATCTATGTGTTCATTTAACACATGCACACTAGGGATGGACATTAGAAAACGTTGTGTCATGATTTTCCTGTCCGAAGTATTCTCCTGCTACATATTTAAATATACTGCATTATAAAGTGTTTTTAGAAAGAAAACATTGTGTTAGTTAGAATATGTTGATTCTTACATTTTCTACTTCTCTACCATGATAGTCAGACAGCTTTTTAAAGCAACTCATGTGGAGCTATTCACGATATCACCAACAATGGAAACTCAGCTCAATGGATGGACTTATTGTGAGTGTTTTTATACGAATCGGCAATGAATTAAAGACCGTAAAAAAGGCAAAAGAAGCGGATCAAACCCCAGCCCTGTTACCCTCCACTGAGGCTCTGATTTACCCTCTGCAGACACATTTCAACACTTGACAACTGTCTGGTTTCAGAGGCTGTTTCCCACCGACTGAAGTCCTCAGAGACACAGTCAGACTTTATTAGCCCTCGGCGAGCAGCTGCAGCTCTCAGAGCAGAGGAGGGATGAGTGTGACTCCTCACAACACTCCTGCACACAAAGGCAGCCTGTGTGTGTGTGTGTGTGTGTGTGTGTGTGTGTGTGTGTGTGTGTGTGTGTGTGTGTGTGTGTGTGTGTGTGTGTGTGTACTGATGAATAAGCAGACGTTCACTGAGTGCTGTCGCTGATCCAATGAAGTCTGAGGAAGTCTGGATAGTTGTTAACACAGAGTCATCAGTCAGCACACTTACAGAATGTCACCCAGTTAAAAGTGGTTTAAAAGCCTGACTGGCAAACGTTCCATCACTTGAAACTATAAATATTACGTTTTACTATATGTGGACTGAGAGGGAATTTAATGTCATCCTAGTAGTAATCATAGGGAACCTTTATATTAGACTTATTAAATTGATATATCAGTGTTTGAATACACATTACATCACATGTTACTTGTTAGACACTTTTATCCAAAGCAACTAACATACTCAATACTGTGGACAATCCCTACAGGAGCACTTTGGGGTGAAGTGTCTCAGGGACACAACGACATGCTGACTGCAGTGGGGTTTGAACCTGTGACCCCCTGATACGAACACAAACGCACTAAACCACTGCGCCACATGCCACACGTCAGGAAATGAGAAACAAGACACTGTACTATAAATATATTTGGCATCTTTGTATTTTTTAGAAGCTCTTCAGGTTTATGCTTTAACTGTGAAGTGTGCCATTAAGTACATATCGTGGTCCCAGCTGTCGGCGATCCTGAGCATAATAAATACGCTGACACAGCCTAGCTCTTGAATGTCATATTTGGTATCTGTTACCTGAACAATACAGCATTAGGCTTTAATAAACATCTCTTATTTGACAAAACAATTTTACAAAATGTAAGATTTCTGCTGCTACAATGTTTTTATCCAAGGAAATGACTTTATATTATCAAGTAATACACTCAATGATTTACAAACACCATGTCTTTACTGATGGTGGATACCACATACCTTTAGGACACACAATACAGTTAACCTCCTACCCACCCTTCTTTACCTGAACCCCACCCCTCACGTGACCCTGCAACACAGTCACCTAGCACCTCTGTGGCTTTTTCATAATCAGTTGTGAAAATTCCTGCAACATTTGAAGGCACCACCCTGTATGCTTTATCTTTTGCATTAAAGCACACTAGGTGACGCCCAGAGAAAAGGTCGAGGAAAGTCTGATCATTTGATGAATTACATTGAATATGGTGTTCTAACAATACTCTATAAGCCTCTCTTTAAGTTAAACTTTCAGATCACAACACGTAAGAAAAATGAGAGCTGACATTAACAATGTAAAAAAATACCGTAAAGCGTAGAATATTGCCTTAAAAAGTAAGCAAATTGACAGATGAACTCAATGCCATTTACCGTAGAGTTAAACATATTTCCTTAAAATGTAAGAACGTAGATAGTATAAACTCATGTGTATTTAGCGTTAAAGTCAGAATAATTCCGTAAAAAGAAATAAATGACAGAATAAAGCTAAAAAAGATTTACCGTAAAGCTCAGAATACAAGTGCACTCGAACTCTAGGGGCGGTTTGTTTGCCCACCGGCTAGCTTTGTTTTGTAGCACCTCTGCTAAACAAACAAATACAAGTTAATAAAGCTAGTTAACATTAGTGAGCTCATTATGACTAGTCAACTACATTGAATTCAGAGTTTTGTACTGACAAGATTTCACATTGTGGACAAGAAGCAGAACAAAAGAGAGCCGTTGAATGAACACTTTACGGTACTCCCAAACTTACCACAACTGCCACCAACGGCTGTCCCGGGATGAAATTCGACATTGCGCTACTACTATATTTAAAGTTATAAACAAATAAACAAACTAAAAAGCAACCACCAGCTGTTATTTTTGGGTAAAAAGCTCTTGATAGTGGGACAACTTGGTAGATTTACTCCATAAATCCCAGGCTGGAAAAACCAACTGCTCTGCTTCCAGGGCGACGTCACCTGGCCCCCCAGCCTATCAAGTTAGCGCGTTTTGTAGCACGAGGTAGCTGGTGAGGGCGGTGTTTAACAGTTGGGTTTGACTCATGCGTTACAAATCAAACTCCCAAAGTGTTGTTGGGCCCCCCTTGTGTTCCGAGACAAGTATGGGTGTGTCCCTTATAAGGACCTGGAAAACAGTGACCTCATGGTGATCTGAACAGGGTGGCTTCACCTTTAACTCACCTGTAAAATAATGTATTCCTTGTCATAGTATCACAACTTAAAAAGGGAATTAACCGTTTGATAGAGGGACAATAGCTCATATAAGAGATTTCAACGGTCTTTTATTTTGAAACTTTATATCAGAATGTCCCGCTGGAATGTCCTAATATTCTGATGTACATAGAGGGACTGTAGCTCATATGAGACTTTAAAGGTCTTTTATTTTGAAACTGTTCACTCATAGAGGGACGATAGCTCATATATGAGGTTTCAACAGTCTTGTATTTTGAAACTCTAAATCAGAATTACCTTATATTCTCCGAGTGAATATTTGGGCAGGCCTGCTATCAGCGAGAAGTGTAATAATTAGTCTTTGATTATGGACAGTTCTTTATTTGTTCTTATCTAAAAATAGAGGGACGATAGCTCATACAGTATATGACATTTAAAATATTTTATTTTGAAACTGTACATCAGAATGTCCTAATATTCTGATGTACATAGAAGGACGATGGCTCATATGAGACTTTAAAGGTATTTTATTTTGAAACTGTTCACTCATAGAGGGACGATAGCTCATATATATATGAGGTTTCAAGTCTTCTATTTTGAAACTGTTCATCAGAATGGCCTGATATTCTCCGAGTGAGTATTTGGGGTGGCCTGCTATCACCCTGAAGTGTCTCTATAGCTAAGAATAAGTGTAGATAACCCAATTTGGGTTCTGTGAGACTGAAGGGGATGTTGCATTGTTTTTGTTACTTTATATTGAGCCTCCTTTGCAGCAAGCTCTGCGGCTGCATCAGCCCTTTTTGCCGTTAGGACCGAGGTTTCAGAATGGTGACAAGCGCTTGAATGAGAGGCAGTACGCGTAGTGATGGGCTGATGGCTGGCGAAGACAGTGCCTTTCACACTCCGCATCAAAATCAATATGGCTTCTTTAAATCTGTTATGTTCTGCTGATGCTCACCTGAATGCTTTTTACATATAACCCTTTTGTCAATAAAAACAAGTGTTGAATGTGGAAAGTGTTAAAATGTACACTGAAAATCAACCACGGACACAAAATGGCTTAAAAGTGTTTTTAATATCTCTCCATGATTCTTGAGGCAATACTACAAAGACATTCAAATGATAAAGACGGCAAACGTTCACACTTTCCTTGAAACGATACAAAACGGATAGCGACATCCTTCAGAAATAAAATAAGCTTATATATGTGATGCTCTCGATAAATGAAAATCAAACTAAAAACGGCACGATAATAAAACGGTTTTTCTCTCAACTTTTAAGCCAAAGAGTTGTGCAACTGTCGCTTCCCTGTCCTACATCTCTGTGAAACCATATCATTACAATAACAACCCAACATAAAAACACAAGTCATTACCCCTCACTGTGTGACACACTACAAGACGCAGGCACAAGGAAGAAGTTCAGGACTACATGATCGTTACAGTAGATATTCAGTCGGGCTAAAGCTCTTCTCTCCTCTGGAAGAAAAAAGATTAATAGGCATATTATTCAAATGATAAACCCCAGGCTGCATTGTCATTTCTTTAAGTGCTCCATTCCCCCAGCATGCTACAGACTGTGCAACATCCTCTCCTCCAGTGTGACTGCCTGTCTTCCGCGCAACAAAAAAAACCTCAATGACGTGGGGAAGTTAAATTAGTGTTAGCTTTGTTTTTGTGATGCAGGAGCTCTGGTAGTGAATGTGTCAAAGCTTCTAAATCTTATTTGCTTTCTTGATTAACAGTGGACAAAATGTCATGCACCAGATATCAGGTTTCTGAAGGTGCTGATGGTTTAACGTCACATATATCAATATAACATTTGCTTAAAGTTTTGTAAATGAACAGTAATTAGTGTGTGCAGTTTTACTGAAATGGAATGATGCAATAATCAGTTCGTGATTTATCTCTGCACACCATAACACAGAAGGATTTCTCTACAGATTTCTCAGTCACTTACGTCACTGTCAGTTATATTCATATATGTATAGCTGCGTGTTAACAAGTCGTGATATTCTACAAGTCTCTAAACTAGGACTCGAGGTCAAGCGCTCTCAGAGTCTTCCTTCTTGTCCTTCTTCCCCTCGCCCTCTCCCTCCGTCGCCTCGCTGCCGTCACGTCGACGTTTGCGGTTTCGAGCGCTGGCCTTCGACGCCGGCAGAGACTCCATGCCCAGAACTTTGTGGATCTGACGGAAAGCGAGCAGCCGCAGAGCATGCTGCAAAAAGAGAGGGAACAGGAAAGAGAAACATAGTCAGTGGGTTCATCGGTTTACTCGTTACTACACAGCTGGTCCATTTCTACATCCTACATTCTTATTCCTGCATACAGTGGTGCAGGGATGTTGTATTTTTGCAGTCGTGTAAAGTTACAAAGTACATTAACTCAAGTACTGTAATATCTTTATTAAAAGCTAATGTTGGGCTATAAAGGAACTACAGCACGGTCACATAACTTCACGTCACCACCACTAAGCTAAAGGTGGCTAATGTTGGGCTATAAGGAACTACAGCTACGGTCACATGACTTCACGTCACCACCGCTAAGCTAAAGGTGGCTAATGTTGGGCTATAAAGGAACTACAGCACGGTCGCATGACTTCACGTCACCACCGCTAAGCTAAAGGCGGCTAATGTTGGGCTATAAAGGAACTACAGCACGGTCACATGACTTCACGTCACCACCGCTAAGCTAAAGGTGGCTAATGTTGTGCTATAAAGGAAGTACAGCACGGTCACATGACTTCACGTCACCACCGCTAAGCTAAAGGAGGCTAAAGTTGGGCGTGATGGCATTTAGTCGTCTTGTTTAGACACTTTTTAGCAACCACCCTTTTTAAATCCACCAGTGGGGTATTTACTGAAATATCTTATGTCGTAGAATATAAATATCTTCAGCTTGTGTTAACTACAGACCTTATTTCAGGATAACAACCAAATACACATTCAGGAAACCATTAAAGAGGAAACAGGAAGTGTTAAAATGCTGATTCATTTACAGTTTTTAATACATTTAAAGTTATTGGAAAACTTCCTATTAAATGATTTGTTACAGGTGTAGCTTTCTTTCTGTATCTATGCAGTTACACACCGAATGGTCGTAAACAAAAACGTTTTGTATTCTCAGACTCTCTGTCGCTGGCATTGTGTTTCTCTTTGAGGAGCAGGCACTTTTTTCCGGACAATAATCAATCCCTATATGCCACTCCTGTCCTGTCCACCCGGAGACAGCTAATCGTGATTTCCCGTTGTCCCTGACAGCTGTGACGGACGGCTGGGTTTTGTCACTCTTTCAGAGACGAGGAATTTCCCTAATGAGAGAGGGCATTGGTGTGAAGAGTCGATGTCCTCTCCTTTTAAAAAAAAAGGCTGACAGTCAGCTGCCGAAAGGAGGACGAGAGAGCGATCGCTGGAAAATAATGTGATGATCCACAACTCACTAAAACTCACACAAACTAAACCAGGAAGAAGCTTTAGAGCAGGGGTGTCCAACTCAAGACTTCATTTTCTGTGGCCCCGCAAGAGCTTGCAAAGAAAGAAGTCCGGTCGATTTAACGTCAGATCAGGACAACAAGTCAACAAACATTACTTTTCTACCTCAGAAAACATTGTGGAATACTTTTTAATTTTAATAAATGTTTTGTGGAGAGCATCAAACTGGGACATGTCTTTGTGATAAAGTAAGAAGAGGAGTTTTTGCAATTTGAGTGTGAAGCTGTAACGGCCCGTCCACACAGCGGCGTGCGTTGAAGCTTCAACGCTTCTGCCCATTCACTTTGAATGGGGTGACGTCACACTTTGCCGAACTGCATTGTGGGAGCCTCGTTTCGCTTTGCTCGCGTTGCTCACTTCAAAAGTTGAGCAATGTTCAACTTTTGAAGCTTCGACGGAAGCGCCAGCCAATCAAATCATATGCCAGTACAAGCTCTAGCCAATCAAACCGCGTGCTTGTGTGTCCGGGGCGGGAGATTCATGTGATTGGTTGTTGGTCGAGCTTCAGACACGCCCGCCGGCAAGCTTCAACGCACGCCGCCATGTGGACGCTGCGTAAGATAAACATTGCAGCTTGGATGTATTTGCAGCAACTCTATTTTCTTTCCACTTTCCCGGAGATAAACCTGTTCAGATATAATCCAATTGTATAATTATGTAAGCTTTTCCTCCCTCCTACGTCCACACATGCAGAAGGGATGGAGGGAGAACAAGCTTCACTGTGAATTATAACTGCCATAACATATCATTTGTCAGCCAGGCTAGAAAGTCTGGGCTGTTAACCTCCAGTTATAAATATTTCCACGTTGGCTTTTGATCAAGAGCGTGTCCTTCTGCTAAATGTGCTTTTCTGATCCGGGAGTAATCCAGCAGGAATAATCCAGGCCTACATCAACAAAATATTTCTCCTTTTTTAGTTTTATGTTGCTGCTAAAGATGTGGGACTTTCCATTTAAGATAGGAGAAGAAATTCACCCAAAGCATAAATATTTATCTTGGAACTTGGTTAAATACGACAAAAATCCTGGCATCAGACAGCGGTTATTTGAACAAGTGGGAAGTAACTGAGTACATTTACTCAAGTACTGTATTTAAGTACAATTTTTAGGTACTTGTACTTTACTTGAGTATTTCATTGTATGCTATTCTGTACTTCCACTTCACTACAGTTCAGAGGTACATGGTGTACTTCTACTCCACTACATGTATTTAATACCTTTAGTTACTTCACAGATCTGGATGAATGATGTGAAATATAATCAAGTATTAAATCAGACTTTAGTTCCACCTGGAGTAAATCGACAAGCTAC